TAAAATATCTCTTGTGTTACACTGAGGGCAAGGAGAAGCAACTGCATGGTTCTGTAAATTGTTTTATATTCTAGAAAGTCCAGTACTGTGGTGAGAATATGAGGGTTTCCTAACAGGAGCTTGGGCTGGAGCAGATGCTGGTACCCAGGAGACATGGCTAATGCATGGAAGAGGAAGGTGACCACATTCCCAATGCAGCACTATGGAAATGCAGAGAAGGGGTTGGATTTGAGGAACTGAATGTGGTGACAAGTGAAAACCATGCTTGATGGATAAAAGATCAATGTCCAGTTGATCCCAAGATACCTAGGTAGGCAGTGGCAATCTTACATAATTTAGGAATCCTTCAGATACCGCTGATCCAAGGGCAGAATATTCTCCTGGACCTATCTCTTAGCAGGGAGCTGCTGATCCAAGGGCAGAATATTCTCCTGGACCTATCTCTTAGCAGGGAGCTGCTGATCCAAGGGCAGAATATTCTCCTGGACCTATCTCTTAAGGAGGGAGCCGCTGATCCAAGGGCAGAATATTCTCCTGGACCTATCTCTTAAGCAGGGAGCCGCTGGCCACAGTTGTGGAAAAAAGCGAACCCATTCTTCCACCCCCTCCCCATGTTGCTCAGTTTTCAAAACCTTTGACTATACCCTCTGGATAGTGATGACAAAAAGCTAGAAGGAAATTACAGGCACAAGAGGGATCAATGATATCTGAAGACTTACATCAAACGAAAGCTCAGATGAAGCACTCATCAGATATACACTTAAACTTTGTGTTTTGAGGAGTCTTAGATGAACATACTTTGTCAACCTTCTCCTTCCTATGAGGTAGATTGTTTATATGGAGAAGAAGACTGGGGGTTACAAGTTGAATCAAATGATAAAATAGGTATATAAATCCTAGGTTACTTATATGCAAACCTAAGACAGACAGACACACACACACACATACACACTACACACACACACACACACATGCTCATGCATGCACATTCACATGCCTCCCATGTCCCCTCAACCACAGAGACCCAGATGCCGCCTTTTACAAAACAGTACACAAATCTGGACTGTGTGCATAACTCTAAAGGAAGGAGCTTGGGCCTGCAAAGAGAAAGACTTAATATTCTGTGGACACTTTCTTGTCTTTCTTTGGTTGTACAAATAGGAAATCGATGCCTTCATCTTGTCTCTAGCTCCTCTTTTAGCTCCTGGTTTTCTTTTTTACCCAATATGCATCAGAAGCAGATTCAATGGCTACAAACCTTACCAAGCATGTTACTCCATCTCTTCTGGTGTTTAGGTAGTCTGGCTGTTTCACCCAAAAACCTGTATTTTTAACTTTAGGTTTCTAAATGGTTCTTTTATAGGATGGGCAGGGACAAAATGTCAAGGAGAGATTTGCACTGGAGAGACTAGGTATTCTTCTGCCCTCTTCCTGATCAATTAAACCTTTCTGTAGCTCCCTGTTGCATCCCCAAGTCCTTCACTCTCCTTTTACCCTCCTGTGTAAGGCCAAACAGACCCACACAGGTGAAGACTTTCAATACTACCCAAGCCAGGACCAGGCAGTAAGTGAAACAGGGCATTCATGAGGCCTTACATACTGTGGAAGTATGTGCCAAGGACGAACGTGCTGACTTCAAGTGATCTCAGATGGCAAAGACCTAATGATCCTTGGCTCCTTTTAAAGAGAGATTGCCATTGATTACTCTGAATATATGCTTGACAAAGTCTCCCTAACTCAAAGGTTAGTCCCTTAGAAAAATTCTGGGCCCCCTGTGAATTTGCCCTCCCTCTCCTTGAGCTCCCAGAGTCAAAGAACAATGGTCGCTAGAGCTCCCTTTCTCAATCTGTGAGTATTTTGAGGGAACATTTTCCTTTAAGCTCTGTAATCACAGTACTTGAGGATGTAGCTCCCAGGAAATGTAGCTGTAGAAATGAGCATGCCAGAATCAAATACGAAAGGATGTCTGCAGCCATGAGTCATGGGAAGCATTGGTTGCAGCAGGCATCACAGAGACACTGTGAGGTATACAAGGTGAGTATATGTATAGTGATTTGGGTGTTTTGCTATGGGTGTATGTTGAGTGTGAGCGGGTGCATTGTGGGTGTTTAATAATTAGTGTTTATACTGTTCGTGGGCATCTTGTCAGTATCACGGATATATCATGCCATGTGTAGGTATGTATATATTTGCCTACATTGTGTGATTGGTGAATACTGCGTGTAGGGGAAGAGGATTGTGTTGGACGTGTGCCTTGTAGCTGCCAAGTGGATGTCATGTGTATATTTTACAGTGCACACAATACTGTATTAAATCTTTAATATTCTCTATCCCTACCAGCCACAAAGGATGCCTTACATGGCAAATGATCTCAATAGTCTGAATAAATCTTGTGGAAACCAGGGAACAGGAAGTTCAGCCATCATTCAATATTACGTGACTCATAATGGACTGGGTTAACCCAGGTCTTGTCAGCTCCAACCTTAGCATCCGGGCCAGTGGTTTTCAAATGAGTGTATGTGTCAGAATTCTGGGCGGATGGAAGAACCTTTGAATGAATCCTCACTCAGTAGATCTCGGTTAGGACTCGAAGTTGCTTTCATCACTGAAGCTGTGAGTTTGAGGATCAAGTTGAAAAGCCACCAGTTTAAGGTCCTCATTAATTTTCAAAGAAAGATCTGGGGAGAAGGTTGGGACCAAGGGAGATAATTTTGATTTGTTGAGCATGAATTCCATATTGTGCAGTTAGTTCCTTGAAAAATCAAAGTAAACATTTAAAAATGAATATTTTAAAATTTGTGCTTAGCATCTTCACTTAGTGCCATGTATTAGTTATAATTTATCATATGGCATTAAAAAGAGAAGGGCCCCTGTGTTTGTGTTTACAAATTCCAGGACTCTGACTTTATTAAGATGTTTTTGATCATAGGATGGTAACCTGCACTTTCCATGGAGAGAATGATATATCACATTCTCCATATATCCATATATTTAATACATTTTTCTTCTAAATATTTATTTCATAGAGTTTCATTCTCCCAGAAAACCTGTGTATAAGCCCTGGAACTGGAAAGGCAATGTCTTTGGCATCCCGGGTCTTCACGGACCCCAGAATCCTAACAGTGTTTGTGTGAAGCCGAACGTGTAAACCCTTTTGCCTCATTTAACATGTACCAATTGGCATTGCCATTCTCTCTCCCACTCCTCCTTCTCCCTTTTCTTCTCTGCCCACTCCCCTACCCTCTACTCATCCAGCCCCAGGGATCATAGAGACAGCAGGGTAATTAGAGCCTGGCCTCCACAATCAAAAGATCAGATGGCTGAGCCAGAACTGCAGGTTTGTGATCATTGAGCCTGCGAGGTGATAAGGGAAAGGGGAGCATGCAGTGCTGCTTTCCGTGTGATAAGTGAGTCATAGAAAGAGCTATCTGGCCTTTCCTGGACACATCTTGAGATCCGTGTTAAGAGGGTGGCTTCTGACACCAGCTGATTCTATTGTGTTGGACAGCATTCTAGCACATACTGCCCAGCATAAAGTGTAGCCTAGGAGTTTCATGGTTTTTTCTTTTTCTGAGAATTCTTTCAGGTTTAATATAGTTTGGTTACAAGGATATGCAGCATTCTCATTTGGTACACAGTCTTCTGCATTTTCATAAATGTTTCCTGGGAGGGAGCCCTTGCCAGTACAGAGACACAGTGTGAAAGCTTATTTAATCCTGAGTGGTGTACTACTATCCTTGGGAGCTGGCCCAGCAAGACCCTGGGCATTGGGCTCTGAACCAGGGAGAGAAAGGACAGAAAGAGAGAAAGAGAGTGAGGCCTTCATAGAAGACCCACAAGTCCATCACCTGTGCCAGTCATGAAAGACTATGTGTCCTCTGTTTTTATCTTGTCTGTCTGCTCTCTCTCTCTCTCTCTCTCTCTCTCTCTCTCTCTCTCTCTGTCTCTCTTTCGCTCTTTCTCCCATAGGTCATACCAGATACCAATAATAGCAGGGCCACAGGTACATTGTCTCCATGACACATTATGGCAAACTGAGCCTTTGAATAATGAGGAGACTTGCCAAATGATACAATATTTTGGTTTTGGGTGCAAGAAAGAATTTCCTTCATCTTTTTTCTTTATCTTAAAAAATAACATAATAGTCTTTATCATATAAAGTCATTGTTGTCAAAGCCAGATAGTATGTAAAATAATGTATGCAACACTAAGAATATAACAGGTGTTCTACTGATTTCCTTTTTTTTTTCTTTCAACTATCTCACATCTAGTTGGTCTTACAAACTCAAAAATTCAGTCTGCCTGGGGGCTTCTTCTTGGTTTGCTTCCAGTATCAGATGTGGACAGTTGTAATTTTATTTTATTCCGGGTGTCTTGCCCAACATTCTTATCAGCTTTTGCATCAATCTGTCAAATTAGGTTAGCTTCTGCCTGTCACAGCACCCATGCATTCTGCTGCCACCTCAGGCACCTGCGTCCTCAATATCTTCAGTACTGGTGATCAAGTGATATTCAGCGATCGGTACGCATTATCAGTGCTGGCTAGCGTTTATTGAGAATTTGCTACATGCCAGGGTGTGTACAAAATGATAAGCGGGGCATGTTCACTTCATCCTCTCCTCAGTTATCCAACCCTGATGCAGTTACCAGTCCACATCCACTGATGAAAGAGCACAGAGTCGCCTAAGGTTTCCTGTGAGAAACTGGGGGTATGTGGCTTCCATGTCATGGGCAGATGAAAGGGCCTGGACCAGGACTCAGTTCCAGCCATAACAAGTGCTAACCACATGGCATTCAGGAAGGCACTGTGTGTTTCTGCTTTTTTTTTCCCCTATTAGAAAAACCTTTGAACACACCATGAAGGAGACACACGGTGCTCTACTGATCCTGTCAGCCACATGTTCTTGTCCATCTAAGCATTGCTGAGTTCCTAGTATTGATGCCAGGCTATGTTTGGCTGAAGCCATCTTAATCAATTAATTTATTCCTTTGTTTTTCAGGTAATGAACCGAAAAGATCATGTCTGAAGTACAAGGAACAGTTGAGTTTTCTGTAGAGCTACATAAATTCTATAATGTGGATCTCTTTCAGAGAGGGTGAGTACACTTCAATCCCCCCCCTCTCTCTCTCTGTCTCTGTCTCTCTCTCTCTCTCTCTCTCTCTCTGTCTCTCTCTCTCTCTCTCTCAGTGTGTGTGTGTGTGTGTGTGTGTGTGTGTGTGTGTTTATACACAAATGTATCTGTGTGTGGGGTCAGGTGAGAAGATATTTGGGATTAATGGAGAATTTTCATTATTTTCCTGACCATGGTAAATTCCAACTATTAGTTCATCTGAGAGTAAAATATGTATTGACTAAAAGCTAATTTATTTGTCCACCCTCATTTTCTTCTGCAACTCCCATCTCTGTTGGTCTTTTCACTGGTTTTGAGTTGTGGGAAGTGAGGCTCGACTGTGTTGTTTTGGTAAAAATGAATCCTATTTGTAGTATTTCCTGGAGTTATCTCCCACAAACATACGGTATAAAACTCATGACCAATCTTTAAAAACTGGACACTGTTTTTAATCATAACTAAAAATATAATTGATATCATTATTTTGAGAATGTAATCTGAATTTATCATTTTAAATGCAAAATGTCCATGAATCCTTATGACAAGTTTCACTCCGGGGCTACTCAATAATTAAAAAGATAAGCAGTTATGTACATAAAGTGATGGCTCACAGACCAGTGCTACCCATTCACAATGGCTGAAGCCCCTTTCCCCACATTACTGACGAGAAAACCAAGTCTTCTAGCAGTGGGATTTCTATGCTAACGTCCACAGAGCCAGAGGATGTCTAGGACACCAACCACTTTGCAAAAGCAACAGCAACAAACCCATTGTGGCTTTGTACGAGAACATTCAACTTATACCATCGTTCTGGGGTTAAACAATGTGGGCTTGACTTAACTTGTGAGGGCCACTCATTTCTACTGGCCTAGGCTTGCCTAGTCTCAGAAAGACATGCTCTAAGGTCTGTGGCCATTGGATAGGAGTCATTGGTTCTTCTGCCTGTGGCTCCCTGCCATATCATAGGCATCTAGATGTGAGAATTGGAGTCGCACAAACTCATTATTACCCATTTTATCCAAAAGTATGAATATCTCTGGGGTACAGGATGATATTTATATACTTAAACATGTGTAATCAAATTAGAACAACTGTCACCTCCTTGGCAGCAAGTATTTGTCACTTCTCAATGCTGGGATTATTCAAAACCTTCTTTATTATTTTGAAATGAATGTACAATTAATTGTTATCAGGTAATTTTTCCAAATTATAAATATTATCCCAACTTGAGAAGTAATTTCTTCTGTCCAAATGTATACTTGTATCCACCAGTTCTTCTCTTCTATGACCTTTTTAAGGTTCTGGTAAGCAGTGTTCTTGTGCTGGCTGCATTTCTGTCAGGTTGACCCAAGCTAAAGTTGTGAGAAGAGGGGACTCAATGAAGAAAATGTCTCCAATGAGGTCACGGGAGACAACCAGTTCATCCTATGCATTGCTATTGCTAGGGGTCTTAGATGGGGTCATCCTTGAAGATTTCAGGGAGATTCCCATGCACCAGGTTTTCACCTGATACTGAAATGCACCTCTTTTATAGTAGTCTCTTTCAGTACTCCCCCCTCCATACCCTGCACAACCTGATCTCTCATGTTCCCATCCCCGCTACCTTCAGTCCACTCTTATAATAAAAGAAAATCCCAATGCCAAGTGTGGGATGCATTCCTATGAGTTGTGGGTCCTGGGGAAGGCAGAGGTTCCCAAACAGTGTAGCCTATTACTATACTCTTAGTTACTCACTAGAACTGAACAGAAACCCTCCAGCATTTGATGCTATCATACCTTGGTTACTAGGACTGTTAACATTTAGCTCCACTATTTATATATACATTAGGTCTTGAGCTTATAATTAAAAATATGAGAATATATAATAGTAAATATGTCTTCATGGGTTTGGAAGAAAATAATCAGCAATAAAATAAAAGTAATGAATAGCAGCCCCCTGAATTGCTGCCTTCAGTGAGCTGTAGATGGGCTGGGCATGATGCCAACCAGAGTTTTGTATTTCTTAGGAGAGTTTCTGATAGGCATGATCCCTGAGGCTCAATATTTGAGAATGTTTTTAGTGTGAATCCCAAAGGAGCCACACTTGCAGAAAAACTTCATAGAAGATAGATGGCTGCATCCCAAGTCTGGTAGGTAAGACGAGGCCCTAGGGTACCTCCTATAAAAGAAATTGATGGATTTCTGCTGTCAGTAAGAATAACAGCAATGGTTGCTAAAAAGTGGTTGATTTAGAGAATGAAAGGTTTAATGATGAAATGATTCAATGAATATTGCATATATGGTCACTAGGAGGGTCTGCCATTCAGAGCTCCATCATTTAAACAACTTACAAAATCAAATTAGAAAAGTTTTGTCTTGGTTAACATGTTTGGAAGCTTTGGTTCAAGATAAGTGAGCTCCAATGCCTTGGAACTGTGGCAAAGTGGCACATGACAGAAGTATACAATGGAGCAAAATCAACCATTTCCTGCTGAAAATAAACAGATTGATATGGGGATTATATATTATATATAATATATATTATAGATAGAGATGTGGTTTAGAGGAGGATAAAGGAGAGAGAGGAGTGGGTAAGGAATGGAGTGGGAGGAATGGAGGGGGCAGGTAGACATATCCAAGTTCTTCTTCACCACGAGAGGTAAGGTGTGTGTGTGGGGGGGTGTGCATGCTTGTGTAAGTATGAAAAGTATTCATTCTATCACTAAAATAGCAAAGTCTTAATTATTTCAAACTGGTAAGATAGAGTTAAAGGATGGGCACACTGTACATTCCTACTTCAAAGTGAAAGAATAAGAAAATGGGCAATGTAGGCTGTTGCGGTTCTTGTTTTCCTATCATAATTAACTGGTATTGTTGTGATGCTAAAGACACTGTGTGTTTTGTTGCAAGACAGACAACTCAGTCTAGAGCTGACTATGAAACTCACCTCATTGGTTACTTTTCATTATGTTGGAAAATGCTATCCAGGTTGCTAGAAAAGAATAGGTATCACTGGTCTTATTCAGAGCTAGACTCTGCATGTTACAATACCAACCAGTCTTTCAAAAAATTCTAAATGATACAACAGAGTCAAAATTGTATGAGGGTAACTACTCAATTTCTTGGTTGAATTTCAGACCTGGTCTACAGGAGGAGATTCATACCTGGACTGTAAAAATGGGTGAAAACCATAGACCCTAAGGGACATCTTATTAATATTGTATTGTTTGTATAAATTGTCATATTGTCAAACTGCCATCGAAATATTTATATTTATATTAATAGAACTGCTGCTCCCAACTTCGTTCAGAGAAACTTCATTTTGTAGTGGGTAGTGGTTAATGCAGGCACTCATTCCTGTTCAAGATGCAAAGAATAAGCCACAGTGAGTGTTTAGCTATTTATCAAATATCTATATCAATTCCCCTTTCCTAAGACTCAGGGAATATCAAGGAAGAAGAGAAGAAACAATGTAAGAGCTGGAAGATGGTGGAGAGAGCAGAAGTGCAGAAGGTTGCATGAGAATTGCCCCTGCTAGTTGAGTTACTGGCTTCTAGCACATTAATATTTGAGGATGGCTTTTCTAGCTCCAGGAAGCAGGATGTCTTCTGATGATGTTTGCTCTGAGCAAACACTCAACCTGCATTTATCCAAAGTCTATATTGGCTGAGGCAAATTCTCAAAGGGGAACATATCTTTACCATAGTCAACAAATAGCACAAGGTGTCACACCCACGTTCAACACTAAGACTTGTGCTAACAAAAGGCAGACATAGTCTACTGGGGACCTGGAATTTGGAAACCAGAATGGGATTTGAAGCCATGCTCTGCCACCTATGAGCTTAAAGAACTTTTGCGTGTTTTGTTGTTGTTGTTTTTTGTTTTTTTATTGAGCTATACATATTTCTCCACTCTCCTCCCTTCCTTCCCTCTCCTCTTTTACCCTCTCCCATGATCCCCACACTCCCAATTTACTCAGGATATCTTGTTTTCTTCTCCTTCCTATGTAGGTCTGTGTATGTTTCTCTTAGGGTCTTTTTCGTTGTCTAGGTCTAAGTTCTCTAGGGTTGTGGGACTGAAGGCTTGCTTTTCTTTGTTTTATGTCTAAAAATCACTTATGAGCAAATACATATTATATTTTTCTTTCCAGGTCTAGGTTACCTCACTCAATATGATTTTTCTAGATCCATTCATTTGCCTTCAGATTCCAAGATGTCATTGTTTTTATTTTTTTTCCCCCACCGAGTAGTCCTCCATTGTATAAATGTACCACACTATATTTATCCATTCTTCTGTCGAGGGGCCTCTAGGTTGTTTCCAGTTTCTGGCTATGACAAATAATGCTGCTGTGAACATAGCTGAGCACATGTCCTTGTTTCTTTCATTAAACAAACAAAACAAGACAAAAGAAAAGGCATGAAACAGGATGAGGATTGGCGATGAGAACAGGTTTGGCAGGAGTGAAAGACAGATGAGAAAGGAGAGGAGGGAGAGTGTGAAAATAATCAGAGTACATTTTATAAATGTATGAATTGTCAAAGGATAAAAACACATGAATTATCATATGGTGTGGACTGGAGAAATGGCTCAGTAAAAAATAGTGCCCAATCTTTCAGAAGACCCAGTTTTGATTCCTAGCACCCACATGGTGGCTAACAACTGCCTGTAATTCCAAATTCAGGGAATCCAATTCCCTCTTCTGGCCCCAGTGGGCACAAGACATACATTCGGTTAACAGACATTTGTGTAGACAAGACATTCCTACACATGCTAACAAACAAACAAACTCAAAACATATGGAGCCTCCCAAACATATGGAGGAAGAGTTAAAGCAGGAGGAGAGTAAGAGACTGTGATGGAACACATGTTACACTGAGCAGAAAGAGGACCAGCTGTCGAGAGGAAGTCCACATCAAGCAGGAACAGGGTAGTGGTAGGGGAGGGAAGTGGAGGATGGATAAGAAGAAAGACGTATATTTGCATAAATATATGTGAAAATTCCAAAA